GAACTCTGCAAGTCTTCCCTGGAAGGAGCAAACCCACTTATCATCAACCAACGCAGATGAAATAAGATTTAAAGAGCCTTTCTAAATGTGGCCAACAGGGCAAGATCCACTGTGCCAGTAAGTGATAACACATCACCCTAGGTCCTCAGGAACCATGCATCTCTAATTTTACACTCACACAGACTGATTTCAGTGTCTAATACAGCATTGAAAATGACAAATAGCATCCTTTTGGTTCTAAACTCTGATATTGTTCCCTTCACTCTCCAAAGGCTCACTTTTAGAGGAAATGTAGGATTTATGTTGCTACATTTTTAGGATTTATAATGACAATGCCATAGTTAAAGGCAATCATATAAAGCCAAAGTGTTTATTTCAGGTCACCAGTGGTACACATATTCAGGCACCTTTCACTTTTTTTTCAGTATCCTGTTTGTAGTTGTTGTGTAACTGGCCTTAAGGGTTAAGGTTGTGGAAAACCCTTCTCGTTCCTGGTCGTAGGTTGGCAAACTCGGTTAGAGGCCAACGGGGGATGAGAAAATAAGATTTAGTGGCCATTTGAGCCCGGGTGAACCCAGAAGAAATAAGATTTGAGTGTAATTTCTTGATATCAACCCCAGGGCCAAAGCAGATAACGGATCAAAGATCACAAGTAACAGGAAATATAGATTCACTGAGAAGGTGATGGAGGGGAGAGAGAAAGATGCCATTTGATGGTGCCCTGAGTGGATGGAAGACTGGTATAAGGTTAGACTGTGGCTGAAAGTTCACATGATAAGTGAATGTAGCTGTTTAAGTCCTGGCCCATGTTTCACTAGCCTATTTTTCTCTGTTCTGTGTTGCAAAATAAGCAAATGTTTCTTTCATCAATCTTTCCTTTGCAACAAAAGCTCAACTGTGTCACACATCAAACATATTTGCAAAAGAAATGTACTTTTTGACAATTTTTGCCAAGAATGTCTGGGACATCCTGCGGTCATCAAATACAAGGAAATAATAAAAATAAATAAATAAAAAAAACGTCCTCTCTCCTGAAAATCACCAAACCACACAGACAGATCTGGGCTGGTATCAGCTGCTTCAGCATTAAACTTCAACTTTGGCGTGCTCCAGTAGCTCACCGGGTCGATGTGTCGAGTCTTCACTGTGAAAGGCTTGGGTTAGAGTCCAGCTCCAGGGCCCTTTGCTGCATGTCATCCCCTCTTTCCCCCCTGCATTCCCGGTCTTTCTCAAATGTATAATAATCAGTATAATAATGGATTCTTTGGATAAATTGTGTCCGCTCCAATAAATATAGCTAATTATTTTGTCGGCATAAAGCACCATTTAGCCAAAGTGGCTGAGAGTTACATTACAATCATACAAATTTACATTAGGAACACAGTATATATGAAAGTTAAAGGTAATGATGGTGCATTATGCTTATGCACTGCAGTAAGCGAACACATTGTTTCTTTAGGTAATTGCTTTTTTTTTGCTGCTTGTGTGGGTGTAAATAGTTCTTCTCTGCCATTTACACAAAAGCACACACGCACTCTCACAAAGAGGAGTAATAGATATTTTCCTTGTTTGTGTCATTGTGTGCTCGGCCGGCTCTCTCGCTGCACGTTAAATACGAGCTTGTATCAAGATGGATGTGTGTTTATGAATAGAACGAATTATAGCAGTAGATTTATAGGCTAGGCAGCCTTTGGCAAAACAAGCACTGAGGGACCACACACACCCACACACATCTCAACCCTGGCCATTTCTCCTGTGTACAGAAAGATGCGGGGGGGGGGGGGGGGGGGACATGATCACACCTGAGGACTGACACGAAAAAAAGAGTAATTATTGGTGCTGTGATTGTGAAATATAGCTATGCACTGCGGGGAGAGGAAGGTAGGGGATGAAGGACAATAGAGTAAGAGATGGAGAAAAGAGTAAGTGGAAGAGGATGGAGGTCTGAAGAGGAAAAGAGTTCCAGAGATATGGGTACAGTCTCTCCTTTGGGCATACAGATATAAGCATTACCTTTGCTGCATTTGTGACACGAAGCTCCAGCACAGGAGAGGCAGGAGAGTATTAGTGATAAGTGTGCTCAACCAAAACCAGAGGTGTCACTTCAAATATGTCCACACTGGAGCAATTAGAAAAATCAGATTTCTTTTCAGACGGTGTGCTTCACTTCATGAGAGCTTCATTAAAATCTGAGGGCAGGCGAGATAGAAAAGGGGACATGGCTTTATTTTTGTCTTAATTCTGAAATATAGCCTCATTAATTCTTGTGTACAGCTTCAGGAGAGACAATGAAGGACGTCGAAATCATCGGCACAAAGAGGCACCGGAGGAGGAGAGGAAGATGTTTGCGAGAAGGAAAGAATGCAGAAAGAGGAGCAGGTGTAAATGTTTTTGGGGGCAGATTCACACCTCAAACAGGAGCTATTATTTATGTTATAATGATGATATAGAGCCCCCACCACAGGTTCATGCTCCACCAGCAGAGGCCGGGCTGCTGCAGCTTCTTTAATCCACATCGTTAATGCCAGGAAATAATTCCCGGAAGATGTTTTTTTAAATTTTTGATGTAAAAGTGGTACTAAAACTCCTCTACACCGTTTAATGTAGGTAATTTAGACATGACGGTCCTTTTCAGTACTGTCAGCACTTTACCCTCCCTGTTTAAATAAACATGATTTCTACAGTGTTCATATGTTATTCTAATGAGCAGACTCAGTCGACCACACTGAAATATACGGTCTAACTGTAGATATTTCCCATAAGGCATAGCTAACCATGCATTATTAGTCTCTGTATGTCAATCTGTGGTGAGCATCGGGTGCCTGTAGTAACTAGGCCTTTTTTTGTGGCTTTCTTCGTTTGCTTTTACTCTTGTGATATACTTTGAATACATTTTTATTCAGCACAGTGATTTAGTTGTATTTTACTTTTTAAAGGTCCTGAGTGTAACATTCAGGAGGATCTATTGGCAGGAATACAATATGATATTCATAGGTATGTTTTCATTAGTGTATGATCACCTGAAAATAAGAATTGTTGTGTTTGTTACCTTAGAATGAGCCTTTCTTATCTACAGAGGGAATGGGTCTACAGTAGCCCAGAACAGACAAACCAAACATTGGCTTAAGATAAAGGGGAAAGGGAGAGTGAGGCAAGCTAGTTACAATCTGCCACAAAATGCTTGTTTCTGATTGGTTAAATCGTATATCCAGACACCTTAAACATACACAATACTTACAATATATAATAAAAAGATTTAGCAAATACCAAGTTGTACCTGTTTAAATTGTTTTGCTGGTCCAAATATATTTAATTCCCTATCACAGATGCACAAATAAGTTTCTGCATAAAGAAAACAATCGGTTATCAATGTGTTGTACGTGATACTACAGTGCATAACCTTCATTTCCTACATTCAGCCTGACATACTTGACAATTGAGAAAAGGATAAATAATAAATAAATCTGTGTAGCTCTCAACATTTGTCTGAATGACTCAAGTTTGTAATGATGACCCCACAAAACTGGAGCTGCATGTGGAGACCTTCCTACAGTACATGGCTGCAGTTTGCAGCTATCACACCTTTTTATCTTTTAATACCTGAAACCAATAATCATCTTAGTACTATTGCCATAGCATGACAGAAATAGGGCATTTATTACAGTACTGGAAACAGAGAAAAAAGCCGCACATCAAAAGAGACTGGGGGAGAGAAGAGAAAAAGAGGGCAGGAGAAGATGTATTATTCTGGTTTGTAATGAGGTGCACGTTTGGTTTGGTTGCTCTGTGCACAAGCGTTGCTGCTGCTGCTTTGTGATTATGGAAAGAGTATGACATATCTCTAATCTTTAGCTAATGAAAGTGTGCATGCGTGTTTCCATTATCTTAACACTTCCTAAAAATGGCAGAAATCATGACTTGTCAGACTGTCAGAGGTGGCAAAAGCATATGTGTGTGAGAGAGAGAGGGAGACAGTGAGGGGCTCACTGAGGATCTTTCATTTGCTTACTGTTTAGTCTGTTTGGTAATTATCATATCCACCATCTGTTATAGAGCATGTGATAAGTAGGAGAAGGAGCAGTGCTGCCAAGAGGAGATGGAGGGAGAGAGAGAAAGTACAATGGAGAGCCATCCAGAGGGGGAAGGGAGGAACGGATGACGGGAAAAGAGAGGAAAGCTTTTCAGTGTGGTAGCGTGTGTGTCGCACCTGTGTTTGTTTATGTATGAGCGCGGCGGTTTTCATGCATGTGTCGCTGCATACATTAATGCATGAGTGTGTTTGTGTGTGCAGCGTGGTGGGTGAGTGGGTGTGGTGGGTACAGCAAGGGCTATTAATAGCAGCTGCCTCACCTAGCTGGTAGCAGCATGTTTACGAGGAAACCGAGCGGCATCATGGGAGTCCCAGCAGACAGAGCCCTGCCTCACAACATTATGTCACAACTCACCCCACCTCTCTCCCGCTGTCTTCCTCTACTCCTCCTCAGTCTGTGCAAAATTCAATTTGAATAGGCTTCCAAACCTTCCCCTCAAATAGTTCAAGTCTCTCTGCAGTCAGTGGCACAACAACTCGAGTGCTTCCTGCCGAATGGAGACATCATGCCACCATTCGAAAAAGCAGACGAGTCGCTTGAGAAAATGAGCTGTCATTCATAGACTTGTTACCATGGTGTGAAGAATTACAAAGATTTTTATTGTTTGGAGGGGGATAGGATTAGTGTTTGGTGAATTAATTCATCCACAGTGTAGCTTCAGAGTCGAGGAACAGCAAAAGCGTGATCACCTTGTGCCAGAACGGTTCATGGCTTATGATTTTAAACAAAGCATACTGTAAGTATTAAGTTAAATGAAACACATTGTGATGGACTGAAGAGAGAAAACAACAGTGAGTGGGCTCCAGCAACCAAAAGACATGGACTTGCAGTAGCAGGCCAAAATAAAGAGTAAATCTATAAACAGAGGTGCTGGCAGATTGCATGATGAGAAAAGAGTCAACTATACAAGTTGGAGAGGAACCAGAAAATTACTGGCCATCTTTCTTGCCCACCTACAGAACCATGTGGCAAATCTATCTAGAAAATCACAAGATTTGAAAGATGATGATGAAGAAATTGAAAGAT